AAAAACCAAAACACAGAACTTAAAGGTTCGGAACAGTTCTGGCGAAACCAAAACAGCAAATATCTACTGCGCATGCTCCAAAGGTTCTGGAAGAGTTCTAGAACAGTTATGAAAATGAACCAAAACAAAGCTATTTACATCGCATTGACACTATTGACGTTGACGTTTTTGTCGCGGACATGCGCAGAAAAATATGGACCCCTCATAAAAAATGATCTGTCGCTACTGTATTGTTCTTTATACTGGGACCCTACGCCAATTAGGCATTCCAAACTGAATGGCTACCAGTGGGTTTTGACGGGTTATGATATGGCAAAATTATGGCAACCCTGTAGGCCTGGTGATTTGACAAGGTCAATGAAATAGATAGTTACATAGATTGATCATCCATATTTTTCAAAATAAACATAAGCTTATGCCTTGAAGTAAAAATGTAAGCAATTATTTTTTTTTAAATATCTAAAGGCTAAACACTGGTTTTAAAACACATTTTTGCTAAACCGATTTAAATTAATAAATATTTGCCAGGCAATATGGCCGCTCGTAAACGACCAGCTATGACCAATCTATATAACTATATATGTATCATTGACACTGTTAATGACAGCATGACAACAGGGTTGCCATATCTAAACTGTCATTACCCACTGGTAGCCATTTGGACAGGTCGTTGGAATGCCTAATTTATATCAAAAATAATAGAGAGTTTTAGCAAATGTACGTAAGATTTCCGCTAACGTTACGTTAAACTTAGATTGTGACCTTTTTCATAAAGATTGAACGGAGTAGATTACAGTCTATCCCTAAGGTAACGTTAGCGGATGGTTAGCGGCTGTTTGCTAAAACTCCCTAATTACATATGACGTATCCTTACGTTGCCAGGGGGTCGATTCTCGAGTTGTAGGAATTCGATTCCGAGGAAAATGAATTCCTATGATAATATTCCTACAGTTTTAGTTGTCGGTATTCTCGAGTACAATAGGAATCCAATTTCCTGTAGGAGTTCCAATTTCAGTATGTCGTTGATAATTTCAAGATAACGCAAAAACGAGCCAATGGAATGTATTTATTTCAGTTAAATATAGTTGTTTAACAGTTGGCAACAAGGCAATTTGACAATTTGTCAAAAATATTTGATTTTCTGGATGGTTATTTATTTTTAATATTTTTTATTAGCAGCAAAAAGAGAAAACGAAAAAGTTTCAGATGGACTACCATTGTGATTACCGTTATTCAGGGCCGACTAGAGGGGGGGGTAGCCGGGACTAATTCCCGGGGCCCGGACTCAAATGGGGCCCGGCAGCGGTATAAGGGGGGCCCGGCAACTGGAATTTTTGTTTTGTATGAGAAAAGAAATTCGACAAAACACGAGAGGGGGAAGTTTTAGGTTCGGAAGCTTTTTTTTTTTTTAGAAAATTGAATCCAAGTAGAGGAGGAAAAGTTTTTGTTTGAAGAGCTGTTTTTTTGTCACGGGGCCCGATCTAGAGAATTGTCCTGGGGCCCGGCTTGGCTCTCGGCGGCCCTGCCGTTATTTATATTTATAAGTAGAAACTAAAGAAAGTAACTATAATACTTTCAATATTTAGCAAATTATAGTAAAATTCACATCATACATCATTATAACTTGGTTTGGCCTCCGTCGAGGAATCCTGATGTGCGAATTTCGCAAAAAAATACTCAAAAGTAACTAATTTCTTTGGTAAATTTTCATAAAAAATTTATAGATTTTGGTTTACTTTATTTATTGACTCAATAGGATAATTTTACTCGTCAAATTAAAATTAACTTTTAATAATATATGTAGTATGTTTCTTTTTTAAATGAGTTTCGAATCGCCTAAACAGTAAGCATAAATCAATAAACCACATTAAACAAGCTACTATTGCGCAAGCGCGATTACAAAATCTTGTAGGAAAATTAAATTCCCTGTCTCATGAGCATGGGAAATCATTTCCTATAACTGCTTAGGAAAATATTCCTACAACTTGACTCCAGAATACGTAACCTACTTTCCTATAGGAAAATCAACCAAATTCCTATAGGAAAAAAGTCGAGAATCGACCCCCGGATCAATGTTGTAATCCAACTTAAGCTGTTTTTTAGCCACCACATTGGTTTAAAATATTTTTTAAACCATATTTAAAGTGACGTCATGAATTAATAGATGGCAAAAATAGGGTGGTTTAAAAATATAACCTGCTAACTGTCATATGACTATGAAGACTAGTCTTCATACATATGATTTGAAATATTCTGATTTCGATCGTATTATTTTTTGATGGATTACCGGTTGAAATAAGTTGTAGAAAGGAGAAGCGAAGTTGATTTAAAAAATGAATTGAATTTTTTTTATGATTGTTAAATCAGATGAAGGAAGAGTTTGTTTGATAGCGACTTTAATTAAAAATTGGAGTGTTATTAATAAATTGCAATCTGAAACGTTGTTTATAGTTTTATTTTTGATATATTTCTTGCCCATAAACATGGCATATATTTATTCCGTAGCTCCAACAAATACGCAATTGTCTGGCGATCCTTTGCTGTAATTTTTTTTGGGATTTTCCAAAGTTCATCAATTAGAACGTCTTGTGCCAAAGAATGTTTAATTGCTTTTAAATATTTACTGGATAATTCAGAATCTGAAGCAATATACGTAATTATTTTTGCAAAAAACGTATAGGTAACTGATAATTAATCCTTTTACCACATTTCAATTGCATCATTGTTTCATAATCGAGAGTAACCTATAGGTTGATCACATCTTGTTTATAATGTTTGCAACATATAACGATAAATATTAATATTATAACATAATGTATGAATATGAATCACATAATATATGTATGATAATAAAAATTAACAAAACGTCAAATATATCAAAATTTTCAAAGAATGGAACAGAGTAAAACAACATACAACAGCCAAAATCAGAATCTCTTATGTGTCAACCGTTATTGAACCATATGCCTCCGACTGGTTCAAAAATTCTAGCTTTGGTTTAAAATATTTCGTACGTGACGTCATAGTTGCATCGCTAAATTTTAAACGGTTTAAAAAAGTCTAAAATATTTTAAACCAAACACTCGCTAAAAAATACCTTTAGATTTTAGTTCTGTTTATTAGCTGAGTTTTGTTTATAAATACGGGCCTTGTTTATAAATACGTTCCTAATGTGAAAAAGAAGAAGAACTGAATAATGTTTTAACGAAAAAATTACAAATCTGAAAATTTGCATAGGTATTTTTGGGCAGGTAACTTATATTCTAACATTATTCTAATATAAATATATTTTGTTTCATAACTGTCCACTATGCCACATTTTCATTTGGTGACCAATTTATCTCAAGATAAAATTCCAGATAATTTACCTGAAAAAATTTGTGGAATATTAGCATCCTCATTAGGGAAACCTTTAGATGTAAGTAAATATTATGTAATAATAAAGTGAAATTTTTGTTATCCGCCTAATAATGGTGGTTTATTTTACTTTATAAAAAAATATACTCTAGTAAACTACACCAGAAGCTATATGGTGAATTTTTATATTTTGAAAAATAAAATGTTTAGGTACAATTTAAATTTATTTAATTAATTTAAATTGACATGTTTGCAGTATTGTGCAGCTACAATTGTTGGTGGAGCAAAAATGTTTTTTAAAGGTTCAAATGCACCAACCGCTCAAGCTACCTTGATGAGTATAGGTGCTTTAGGAGTGGCAGAAAATAAAAAACATGCTAAATTATTATTTGAAGTTGTTGAGAAGAGTCTTGGAATTTCTCCAGACAGGTAATTATTTTCATTTAGTAAATATTATTTATTAAATGGTGGGAAGGACAAATTTTATCATTCATCATATTATAAGAACATTAAAATTAACATATCAAATAGGTATGTTCTTACAAACATATAATTGATATAAATTGTGTCTCACCAGCTAGAGTCTGGTTCTGTTCACCGTAGTCACAATAGGCAGTGTGTAAATTTGTACAGAAAATTTCTTATAATTTGTAAAAATAGGCAAACACATAGTAAACACTAATATTTTTAAATTAAATGTAATATGGCATGGGAAAAATGAGTATTTTTTAAATAAGTTTCAGTTGCATATTTTTTTTTCTGTATTATAAATATTTTTTTTTAGAATGTATATCCATTTTATGGATGCAGCAACAAAGGATGTAGGGCATGCTGGAACAACATTCCATGACATTTTAGGATAATTTAAGTATTTGTTGAAAAAGTATCATGAATTGTTTTATTTAAGATTAAAAACTTATCAATATAGTTTGAATGTGACTTCCTTCCTGATAGAAACAAACCCGTTATCAAAAGTATAATTGATAAATTGATGTATTTTCTCTAAAGGCGTTGAAAAATTACCAAAGGTAAAAATATTAATAGTATTTAACTAAAAATTGCTTTCGGAGCAAAGCAAAATTAGAAGAAAATTAACTATATATATATCTAGCAATACTAAGGACCGATTCCACCGTTGTGTTAAACAAAGTTTAAAATTACATTTTTACATTAACAATGTCATTTTAATCTCCATTTGACCCAACGGTGGAATCGGTCCTAAATGAAACATCAAAGGTCTCAAGTTGGATCATTGTGGTACGTACAAAATTCTCTAGATATTGCTTCTTTAGATATATTTTAAAGTATAGATAGATATTGCATTTTTTCTATTATATAAAAGAACGAATGTTTGAATGTTTTTCAAGCAGATACGAATTATGAAAATAATAGCCATTTTGTCGAATAACTTTATACCTTACGTGTTAAAGGCCACATATTTAAATAGGTATTTATCAAAAAAAAAATATTACAAATTGTATTATTGTCAATATCAATTCCATTATCTGTTAAAAAATCAATTTTATGAATGATAAAGAAGCAAATAACAATTTCAATATAGCAAAATTATCGTACTACATTGTGGTGAGCTGCAAAATACTCTAGTTAGCGACGGAATTTTTATAACAAGAAAATGAAGAAGAAATTGACATCCGGTAAGAAGTGTTTTGACAGTGGACAGTGGACATTTTAGTTCTTTTTCAAAAGTCGTGTGTAGGGAAGTGTCACACGATTTATATCTAAATAGTTTTTTACTAATCCGTAAGTATTTTCCATATATTTTGTAAAAATTTTATAAAATATTCCCTTCTAAATATAATTGTCTAGTTAGTTTAAGTAATTTCTTGGCGGATTGATATTAAACACCTTTGTTTTTATTTCAGTTCCAAGATGTCTATAAGACCCGTATACCGACCGAAAATAGTGAAAAAGAGGACTAAGAAGTTTATTAGGCATCAGTCTGATAGATATGGAAAACTAAAGGTAGGTAATACAATTTGTTTCCATAGAAACATTTTAAGCTTTGAAATGTTATTAACATAACCTATAATTCCACCTCATTGATTTTAGAAAACTGTAACAGGAATACAATTTCTAACATTATAGGTTTTGTTTATTGCTTTTCGTTTTTACCATATTTCATGTTTTAATTTATTTTTAGCGCAACTGGCGTAAACCAAAGGGTATTGACAATAGAGTAAGGAGGAGATTCAAGGGACAATATTTGATGCCAAATATTGGTTATGGATCGGCCGCTAAAACTAGACACATGTTGCCTACAGGTTTTAGGAAAGTGTTGGTTCATAATGTGAAGGTAAGAAAATATTTTTTTTCTTAAATTTAGTAACAGTACTAAGTTTAACAATAACCAATGTTTATATAATGAGGTTCACTGTTCAAACTGGGATTACATTACATACCTTAGTTTGAAAAACCTATGAATTAAAAAATATATAAGTAGGTTTATTTATAGGTTTTTTTTTTTTAATTGATATTGGTAGATAATATCAATATCAAAACGTTGCAGTGGTATATAAGGATTGATAAAATATTTCCATTTATTTTTCATATACACTAAATTTTGTACCATTTCTCCTGAGAGTTGATTAATAAAATTGCAAATTCTTAATATTCATCTTAAAAAACCTAAAATTTCCTAATTTTTACTTTAGATTCTTGAAAAAACCTAAATAACCTAGGTGTAAAAAACCTGTACTTGCTAACCCTTCCTATAATAAATAAACAAATGAAAATATAGTCATAATCTAGTTTGACCTCTTTATGAAAAAACAAAGCATACTTGTAGATATCTCTTATTGTAAACAAAAAATCTTAGTGCCATATCTTGTGCAAATTAATGAGACATTTAATTTATTTAAATAAAAACATTCACCAAACTTGCCAAGTCACATAAAACGTTTACCATCCTAATATTTATTGTCAAATAGTACCTACAGCAATTTATTTCTAATCATTTTCCTTGCTCTAAATTATTAACATCATTTTACCAAACCCACACTGCACCCCAGTGCAATCCCTTTCCCATTAAATTGATATTAATTGAAAAATGGCACACATTTTTATTTAAAACAAAATAAATTGTTTCATTAATTATTATTGCAAAGTTATGCTACTTAGTTTTTTTTTGTTTATGATAGTTATACCTACAAGTGCATATGCTAGATATTTACTGAACATATATTTTATATTAAGCACACATTTTTAAATGAAGAACATGAAATATATCTGTAATCCAAATAATAACTTTATGGTCTTTAGAAATAATTACTTTAGTAAATAGTTTTGGAATTATTTTATTTACGCTTATTTTTATAGTTGCAGTGGTTTATACTTGTAAGACTTTAGATTCTTCTATTAAAATTTTATTTTTGTATAAACTTTAAAATAATTATTGAATTTAACTATGATGTATTTGGTAATTTGCGGCTGAAGCAAACATGTCGACAATCTTAACTGAGTAATTACTAATTAACAAAATCATGCATGTTTTGTTTTATAAAAATTTGATACAACGATATTCTGTTACAGGAACTAGAAGTTCTTCTCATGCAAAATCGTAAGTACTGTGCAGAAATTGCCCATGGGGTTTCATCCAAAAAACGTAAAGACATTGTTGAACGTGCTCAACAATTAAGCATTAGGGTGACAAATGGACATGCAAGACTGCGCAGCCAAGAAAATGAATAAGTGTAAAATATATTTGTTTAATAAAAAAAGTACAAAATGAAAATCATTGTTTCAATTATAAATTTTTATTATCAACCAAAATAAAGTTTTGACTTGAGAAAATAATAATGTTGAGAACAGAAAATATTAAAAATTAATTAAAGGGTAACTTTATTAAAATATATTAGGCAGTGTTTTTAAAATAATAAACATGTAAAAAAGTAGGATAATGAGATTATTTTTTTGCATATTTGCATTGTTGCAGCCATCGGCGTCATTGCAACTCTGGACACAGCCTTTTGCATATCTGAAAAATATTTAATTTCTGTATAAACTACTTACTGTTCAATATATTACTGTTGTATGATATTATCTTCATACAACAATATTACTATACCAGGTGTCTTGGAAAGGTGACATTCTATTTTTGTATTTGAAGGCACATGACATTTGAGCTCCCTTAGTTCTTTTAAAAGAAATAACTACATTCTAAAATACAATTTTACAAACAAAATGAGCTATTTCTATCCATTAATTGCAATCATAAATGCGAAAGTTTGGATGGATGTTTGTTGCTCAATCACGCAAGAACGGATCTGGATGAAATTTGGCACAAATATAGATTATAGTCTGGAATAGCACATAGGCTACTTTTTATCCCAAAAAAATGAACATTTCCCATGGGATCGATATGTTTTTGTTTTTCACAGAGCAAGGGATCTGACATAATTTTTTGCATAATGGTAGTGAAGCATGAAAATTTGAAATACTGCTACTGATCATGAATAAATAATGACGTGTTTCAGGGTTTTTGGTTATTTACATTTTAAGAGGGGGAAACGTGGGTTAAGAATTTGCATGGAAGCATCGATTTTTTTATAGGTAGGAACTTGAAAATTGGAATTATAGCTATTCATCACAAATAAATAATGGTGTTTCAGGTTTTTGGATTTTCATATTTTAAGAGGGGGAAATGAGGAAAAAAAAGGAAATAAGGGAAATGAGTGGGGAGTAAAAGTTTGTATGGTAGGAACTTAAAAATTGGAATTGAAATTCATAAATAAATAGACATGTTTCAAAGTATTTGGATTTTATATATTAAGTGACTAAACGGAAGGTGAAAGTTTGAATAAGACTTTCAGTTTTTTATTTGTAGAAATTTTAAAATTTGAATTGTAACATCATAAGTAAATAATTACGTATTTCAAGGTTTTTGGATTTTCACATTTTAAGGAGGAAGGAAAATGGGAAGTATCGTAAAAATAAAAAAAAACAAAAAGAAATAAATAAAAATAACTAAAAATAAATAAATGAAAACAAAAAAAATAAATGAAAACAAATAAAATTATTAAAAATTAACAAAAATTAATAAAACTTAATAAAAATTAGTAATAATTCCTTTTTAAATTATAAACACGACACCCCGCTTGCAAAGCCGCGGGCAAAAGCTAGTTAGATTACTTATATTTGGAGTAACAAATAGGGTGCCACTTTACCCAAATTATATTTTTATCTAAATAGGCAAAAATATACTGGATGTAACATTAAAAATTAATAGTTATTTGTGGTGAAACTAGAACTGACAAAATGAATTAAAACTAGTAGATAGCATCTTTATGTAATTAATAACTTATTGTACCAAATTATAGGTTCAAAAACAAAAAAGTTATATCGGCCACTTTTTAGAGACACCCGGTAAGCCCTACCTATTTTCATAAATAAAACTTCCACAATGGGACATCCGTACTATTTCTGTGTCCGTTGTTAAGGAACCACTGTCTAAAGCACAGCCCCTTATAACTATAACGTCTTTGTTATCATCTAAAAAAAAATAAAATATTAAAATGAGGTATAAGAAACATGGTTTAAAAATTAGTACCGAACACACCAGCAATTTTTACACATGATGTGGCGGGAAAAACACCATTTCTCCCCTTTTTACCCCCCATACAAGGCGATTTGTAAATGTCTTCCGTATAATTGTGATGAAATGGATCTTCACATGGCTTATAATCGTAATTTACAGAAACACATTTAAAGCAGTCGATTGAGTACACTGAAAAAATATCTGGATTAATTTTGAAATTAAATATTAATTTGAAAACTTACCCCAGGAGTTATGAAAAAAATTTACAAGTAAAAAGTATTTTATCATTTTAGTGTATAGGTGAAATTGGCTTCCGTTGTAAATGTTGCTAATAGTAACTGCATAATTAAATAAAATATTTTCCGGAAATAATCAATATTTTTCCAGGTCAAATTAATTTTCCCTAACTAACGTCCTAATACGTTAAAAGCTAAAATATTTAAATTTTAAGAAATAAAAAAGAAGAAGAGAACAGTTTCTAACCTAAAATTTGCACAAAAATTTAAAATAACTAAATAAAAATGAGTATATTAAAAAATGTATGATATCTATGACTTTTGTGCACAAGTATTTAACGATATTGTTTGTTTAAGGTTTTATTGCAAAATATGAAATTACAGAAAAACATAACTAGATCAATGCATTTAAGTCCTGCCTGTTTAAAATCACAGGCAGGAAGATATAGAATAAGTGCGAAGAAGGACTTTCCACTTACATATGAAATGGCAAACCCTCCTCATCAGATAGCTCATAGAAAATCGTGGAATTCTTGGAATACTTGTAAGTAACCTTTACTTGAACAAAAGATAGTGCCAAAAAATTGTACATGGTACTTATAGCGTTTTCGATTCCATTGCCCTGTCTGCGTAGAGTGCACATAAAGATGAGCGATATATCGATTCTGGTTACATTTCAGAGTGAAAAGTAACTCCCACCTTTCGTATGTACTCAGTGCAAGCCGAGTACTAGAATCGAAAACGCTATTACAATAGTATCTGCTAAAACATGAACCGAGATATGGCAACGTAGTACACATAAAATTCAAATTATAGACGTTAGTGCAGAGTAATGTGCACATGAGCACAACACACATAGTCAGACGAGCCCAGGAAAAAATGAGCATTTTTAGGAAACTGAACTACAAAATTACCCTCATTTTACTGCTAAGTACTTACTTACTTATATTGATTAAACACAATCATTTTTTTAGCAAATCTTGATGGTGGAATTCGGCCTGCTGAAACAGCAGTAGAAGACATTTTTGTAAGAAAATTCGTAACAGGTACGTGGCAAGGTCTTTTTGCTAGCGAAGTCATTATAAAAAGACAACATAATATAATAAGAATAGCTGGAATAACGTCTAGAGGAATTAGTCCGAGAAAAATGTACTTTTTAATTGGTTATACAGAGGAATTTCTTAGTTTTTGGTTACAGTGTCCAGTTAAAATGGAGTTACAGACAATAGCAGATAAAAAGGATATAGTATTTAAGTACATATAATTTTTGTTTATATATTTCAATAAATCAGTATAATTTTAGGAACATTTTTTATTTATCCTAATAGTTATTGCAAAGAGTAGAAATAACAAATAATAAATAATAAGAGAGGACAGTCAGAGTGAGAAACTAAAATCAAGAGATAATTTAAAGGGATTTAAAACATTGCTAGATAAAATTGTTTAATTAATGACCAGTTGTTTAATACATTAACATTGGCAAAAGGAAAAGTCCCAATATTTGTAGAACATTTTCTTAATTGTAACGGAAATAATCCGAAAGAACAAATCCCATTTAAATTGTCTTTCAGTAAGATTCAAGTAACGGCCCTGACAAAAATTGATCATCTAATATATATGTCTAAAATCACTGAGCAAATTACCAAAAGTTATACACAAATGGTTAAAAAAAAATGTTGCTTATGCCTTTTATTATCCACAAAAATTAAAAATAGACTACCCGATATGATGACAATTTATACAGCAGAATGTATAGCAGTAAAGAGGCTTACAAAATATCTATAAAATAAATAGAGTTATGGACTGCAGAAGCATTGTTCAAAAATTAAAAGATATGTAACATTGACGTTGAAAATTATTTCTCGAAATAGTGAGGCAAGGAAAAAGGAAAAAATATATCTATGTTGGATAAAGTCACACATTGTAATTAGAAATAACGAAATTGTAGATGATTTGGCAAAAAAAGAAACGATAATCACCCTTAATTTATATTAAAAGCCAAAGAAGGCAGCAGATCACGTAGGGAATTTTAAATTGAAACTTATGCCATATTTTTTAGGCTATTTTAAGGCTATTTTTATGACCTATTCAAAAAAATTAGGCTCCTCGTTGTTTGCTAACTTCAAATGAAGCCAGCATAGCACCTTGGTTTTCTAAAGTCTTTTTCAGAATAATCACACCACATTTTTAGGCCAATTTAAGGCTCTTGAAACATTATAAAACTTTTCTAAAAAATTGCTATTTTTAAATAATACAGGGTGCTTAGCTAGAACAAAGCCAGCAGAGCACGCACCTTGTTTTGTTTAGTTTTTTTTTTTCTAAAAACAATTGAGGCACATTTTTAGGATATTTTTTGGCTTTTACTATAAAGCTTTTCGAAAGAAATTGTATTTTTATAAATATATGGGGTATTTTGCTGACTTTGAACGAAGTCAGTAGAGCACCTCAGTTTTTTAAAGTTTTTTCCTAAAAACAACCACATCACATTTTTAGGCTTTAAGGCTCTTGAAATATTATAAAACTTTTCTAAAAGAAATTTCTATTTTTAAATAATACAGGGTGCTTAGCTAAAACCAAGCCAGAGAGCACCTTGGTTTTTTAGTTTTTTTTTCTAAAAACAATTGAGCCACATTTTTAGGCTATTTTTTGGCTCTTAATATAAAGCTTTTCGTAAAAAATTGATATTTTTATAAATATATGCTGACTTTGAATGAGGCCAGTAGAACTACGCCATTGAAATATAAAACTTTTAGATAACATATTGCTATTTTTTATAATTTCGGGGTGCTCTGTTAGCTTCGAATAAAGTGTTTTTTATTGTTTTTTTTTTATTGTTTTTTTTTTGTTTTTTTTTGTTTTTTAGTGATTATAGTGTTTTTTTCCAAAAACGACTATGCCCCATTTTTTGGCTTTTGAAAACATTCCAAAAAAAGTTATTTTTAAAAAAATACAGGATACTTTGTTAATTTCGAATGAAGACAGGAGAGCACCTCTGTTTTTTGAGGTATTCTCTAAAAACAACTGCAACATTTTTTGGCTATTTTTTCGAGAAAAAAAAATATTTTCTAGCTTTGAACGAGGCCAGTAGAACGCCTGATTTTAAAGATTTTTCTAAAATCAAATGTCACATTTTATGCTACTTTTAGGCTCTTAAAATATAAAAAAACTTTTATTAGAAAAAAATTGATATTTTAAAAAAATCCGAGGTGGTTTGAGCATCGAACGAACCAGCAGTGCACTTGGTTTTCAATTTTTTTTAGGCCACTTTTAGACTACTTTTAGGCTCTTAAACCATTAAACATCCCAAAAAATTTTGCCACTTTTTAAAAGATGCTTTACTTGCTAGCATCGAACGAACCAACAGAGCACCTTGTTTTTTTTTTTAAGTTTTCCCAAAAGCGATTCTATGCCACATTTTTAGGATTTTGAAAATATTCCACAAATAAATATAGGATGCTCTGTCAATTTCGAATGATGCCAGCAGAGCACCTCGTTTTTTTTTGAGGTTTCCTCTAAGAACAACTATGCAACATTTATGAGCATAGGAACTCAAAAATTGCTTTGGGTGCTTGGCCTCTGTGCGAGAAATAAGGACTTTCCCCCCCACCCTCCACACCTCACTTTAATGCCACCACCGGTTTTTTAAAAGTATTTAAAAAGCTATTTTAAAGCGTTGATTATATGAAAGTTTTCTTGAAAAAAAAAGGTATTGTCAAATGTCCAATTGCTGGATAGGCTGGAGGCTCCCACCTAAATCGGGATATCTGGCATCTGTCAACCCTATATGCTCGGTGCAGCCACTACTGGTGTTAAGTGGTGCTGCGGTGCTAGAGTACCAATGAAATAAGTAGAAACACAATATAAAACATTTATTAACTATCATGAATTTAAAAGGACATTTTTGATTATTTATGAATACACGTAATGGATTATTGTTATATACACAGGGTGGCCATTTGAAAGCAAAACAGCCAATTTTGGACACCCCAGTCATTTACGAAAAAACGCCTGGACCCGTCAATTTTTGATTTTAGGGGGAAACATTTTTTTGCTAGTTTCACCCCCTGAACGGAAACCCTCTAGCGTGAAACACCCCTACAATCATAAATGGAAAGAGGGGTCGAATAATAGCATATTTTGAAGGTATTTTTACATAGACTATTACTCCCGAGTTTTAAAACGCTACTGTCTTCCTGCTAGCCATGATCTTTAAACGATTTTTATTTTCTGTAAAAGCTTACCAGTTACTCGAGTAAATGCTGGAAATGCCGACTCTGTAGCTTCATTTACTATATAATTTTCCATATCACGTTATTTTTTAGCTACTGACCCCGTTTCCAAAAATGTACTTTCGATGGACAATAGAGTAAACCATTATCACTGATATGCCACTTTTATGCCGACTCTACAACGAAATAAACTAAACCTTACTACTTTACGGCGACCAAAGAATGTCATCTGATAACAATAATTAAAAGCCACAGAAATTTAAGAAATAACTGGCGAGTCTCACCCCCGATAGAGGATTTCCGCTCGAGTGAAACTGCCAAAAAATGTTTCCCCCTAAAATCAAAAATTGACGGGTCAAAGCGTTTTTTAGTAGATGACCTGGTTTCTCGCCAGGGGACCTATTTTCAAACCGTGCGAGTACTCATTTCTCTCAAGATTTCAGGAGAAATGTCATATGTCAACGTGGAAACTGTATTTTGAAAACCAGTGACTACCTCATGACTACTCACTGACCTTTTCTCTCGGTTTATTTCGAGAGAATTCATATTCTCAGGAGAATTTGACCACGTGATTAGGGGCGTGTGTACCCTTCCTCCATGTGTGTACCCATAACCGATGTGTGTACAAGGCCAAGTCACATACTACATTTCTCTCGATAGAACACTCCTTTCTCTCAATAGAGCACTCCTTTCTCTCGAGTTTGAAAATAGCCCCCCAGCAATAGTGGAGAGCTGTTTCCGACTCTAAATTAACGTTCTTTTCTAACGGTACTTGATCGGGAGCAACTTTCAAATGTTCTCCCTTTTTCCCTCAAGCATTTTCTCAATAGCATATGTACAAAGATCTTGTCTTGATAATTGTAGACCGTTATTAGTCTTTCCTTTTTGATGTCATTATACACCAAGAATAATAAACCCTTAAGTCCAAATTCAACGCGTTGTCTATGGCAAGTCACGACTTTTTTCCCACAAAAAATACAGCTCCGAACGATATTTTATCGAGTCATCCTGTCGCTATATCGATTTGGGCCACGACAGCTTCTTCATTTCACTTATTGACACTTGTTGTCCCGCACATGTGGAATGACACATTGTTTTACTGATTTAATCAATCTTGGAATTGTTAATGAACCGAAGGTCAAATAAAAGGTAAATAAACAAAAAAACACAAATTCTTTGGTCATTTTTATTATTCGTCAGTTCCCAAAGGCATCCAGTAATCTACAATTTACAGTGTAACAGATAACAGATCATATTTTGTAATATTAGATCTTAAAAGAGACCACTAAATTAATATGCACATTTTAATGAATACTTTTTTACATCATTTGATATCAAAAAAGAAAAAGTTATTAACATCGATTTTTTGTAGTATTTTGTCTGCATTATACCGAAAGGGGGTCACATTCAAAAGATCGTATTTATAATTTTTAAAGATACATCAAAATTTTGCTATTACTAATAATTGGAAAGGGAACAAAACAATATAATACACGGTTGCTTTAGGAATATTTAGATAAAGGATATCGATTTTCTTTTAGTAAAAAATAATAAGCTCCTTGCCAAAATTATGCTTTCCTGTCTAATTTAAATTATAATTTAGTTACAACCTATTTATGTTTTATTTTTAATTCGTAAAATTAATCTGACTCTTTACAGTCTTCCAGAATATAATTAAATTGCTATTTCGGAGATTCCGCAAACGATATTTCAGATTAATTTCACGAAAATAAATTATTCTTTATTTTTGTACAATAAAAAGTAACAGAAAATATCCTTCAAAACTATAAAAAATCAGATAGAAAAAGACCTACAATTTACACTTTTCTATTAGGTATGGAATGGAGTTTAATTCACTTTAATGTTATAAAATAAATATTTTTTGATTTTAACTGAAAATTAAGTTATATATAAGACAGATATTTTCCAAATGCTAATAAATGAGTGACCATCTCGATTTCCAGATATAACATCTTATGATTTTTACCAACTGATTTTTTATAGGCAAAAAGATTTATTCATGATATGTACAATTTTAATTCTAAAACAATAAAGACTTCAACAATTCAATGA